ATCAAGTGCGATTATGAATATTAATGACTCAGAATATTTCTTCTGCCACTGAAATAATGGTTTGACCTTCATACAGCTACACGTACTGACAACATACCTTAACATACCTGTTAAAATGTTAAAGGAATGGCTCAAATGTACACAATTTTCCACTCACCCCAGATGTAGTTGATCAGCTCAGACGTGTGTGGTGTTAAAATTTTGCTTCTTCTCTTTAGAACTGGAGCTGCTAACACTTGAAGTCAATAGTCACACAAATCTTTTTCTGTAAATACATCCCTAAACGTCTCTCAGCCTGCACAAATCCCCACCAGCTATTTGTTAAGGTGGTGCAGACTTGTAGATGTGATTTAGGACACAGAGCGACTTGCTGTGAAATATAAATATGAACAAAACAAACCGGGCGCCGAATTCTGACTTGCTTTATTGTGCACACATGTCACACAGGCATCGATCAAGTTCTAAATGAGTTAATGTTTTTCATGAAATGGTAAAATATCTCACTGATATGTATTCTATGTTCTATTGTGAATAAAATAAGGGTCTATGAGATTTGCAAATCATTGCATTCTGTTTTTATTTACATTAATTTACATTTTACACAGCGTCCCAACTTTTTTGGAACTGAGGTTGTAATAAACCTAGAATAGAAGGATTTTGTGCATCAGCACTGAGCCTGAGGTCATTCACAACACGAACCAATGCTGTCCCAATACTTGACATGTCATAATTTTGAAGTACTGTCATAATTTTTAAATGCAATCATATAATTTATTCGCATTGTACAGCCCAAAACCTAGCCACTACTTTTGTCTTCTTTAAAAGCTGTGTTCTGTTTTTACAGTGTGTTTAGGATCATTGTCGTGTTGGGGCATTCCTTTCTTGCCAAGTGTCTTGAGTGTGGGAATCATGTATTTTGGTGCGTTTATGATGCCATCTATAAAGTCTATAAAAGTCTCCTACAACTGATGGACTCATACAGCCCCATATTAACATTACCTCCACCATGTCTCACAGCCGGCACTCTGCAGTCACCGTGATGGTCTTGATCAGGTTCACGACAAACGTACACTACGTAAATAAATGTGTAGTTACATTTGAATATTATAGCAAAATGAAAGCAGGAACACTAAACATCATATCATGTGTCAGTCACTTAAATACCTTCTTTGAGTTTTAATCAAGGCCAAAGCTGATTTCGGGTGGATGCTGAAGAAGCTCCATTCTCAGTGACAGACCCGTCACTAACTGGGATAAGAGGATGGAAACACAAGGACTGACAGTTTGGAGTATCTGTAAGTCATCCGGATGCATAAAAGGCCATTGTGTGCGGCCTGGGCGCCCTGCTCGTCCTGCCGTGCAGCTGTGGTGAAATCAGAAGTTCCTCCTTTTTTTCACATTCGTGGCTTCTTCTTTCACAGTATGTCCATTGGTACAATGTGTGGTTCCTCACAGACAACACAGTAGCAGACTTACGATGATACAGACAAAATATATCACGATACTTGAGATTTTCACAATACCCGGGTTTTCTGAGGTTTTGCAGTCGGAACAGGATTAACTAACTCTTTTTATTCACTTTATGAAGATATGTATTTAATGGCAATGAAAGGGCTGATAATAAAAGGGGAGTTTGGATAAAGCAGTAAAAAGCTTTTTCTTGGTCTCCCATTGGGCTTTTTTTCTTTTCAGCAATCCAAATGTGATTTATATTTGTTAAAATTGAAAATCACAGTTATTTTTAAACAGTTAGATCATACAAATTATTCTTTGTCTTTAGAAATTGCTTAAATAAGTTTGTTGTCTAGAAGCAACATTGTGGGACAGTGCAATGGACTTGCATGGAGCAAATGAAATGTCACTTATGTACCCACTTAAGAGAAAACTGTAATTATCATTTATTTCTTTTTATTTAGAATTCTGTTTTATTTAGAATAGTTTTGTGATTTTGCTTATTTCACCCTAAAATAAAATCTAACATATTTAGAATTTAATGCATATACAATATTAGTTAATAATCTGTCATGTCATGTCAGAACACAGCATGTATATTTTGTAGCAGTCAAAATAAAAGAAAGCCAATTCTAATTCTTTGAAAATTATGTTCTAGCACTGTTTTAACATTTAATTATTTTAAATGTTTGTGTTGTGTGCAAGGTATCAAAATTTTGCACTTTACAATGTTGCATAATGGCAACATGGTTGAGTATAAAAAGAACTAGATTTTTTACAGTTTTAATATTTCAACCTCAAGCTGTAAAGTTACTCAGTTTTACTTTTAGTCCAAAAGTTTATATTAAGTCCTGTTTTATAAGACATTTGTTTAATTTCTTTCAGTTGTTGCACACTGTTGCCTCTAGGCAACACCCCAGAAATGGCCTCTGGACATCATTTTTTTGAAAATTGGTTTTAATTTTTATAATTAGGTCCATTTTATGCAAGAAAACTGACTCATTTTTTAAACACTGCTCTTATAATGTGTGCAACAGAGCGTTAAAACTGAGTTTATTTCATTCTGTTGTGTTGGTTCAGCTCCTGTTCTACTTTACTGTTCTCACTTTGGAGATTCAGCATTTTTAGTCCAAAAAGAGAACCAAAACTTGGAAGAAGAGTCCAGTTTCAACCTTGTTGTTTCTAGGCTGAAAGATGCTGGATGTTCTTAGAAGTTCCACTGCTGTTCTCTGTAGAACTTTGTGAGTACTTGAGGGGTTTTGGATCTGATACTTCCTGTTTCTTGGCACCAAGTTTACTTCTTGCCTGAGTCATTACTTCACAGAAGTGACTTCTGCATAATTCAGTGGATGAGATGTAAACAGTGTTTGGCAGTGGATGTTTTAGTTTTGATTTCATTTTTGTGTTTTTTTTTTTTTTTAATACAGTTAACGAGAGGAGAGGATTCCAGAAACTTCTTAACTCTGAGCTCTGATGTGTTTAGTCTCCATGACGACTTCAGTACGGACTGAATTTAGGACAGTAACTATTAAAGAATAACAGAATAACAGCTAGTTCCTAACTTCAGATAAGAGAGAACACACACACAAACACCATCTAAACCGCTCATCCTTCTGGGTCGCGGTGGGGTGCCGGAGCCTATCCCAGCTATCATCGGGCGGAAGGCAGGAAACACCCTGGACAGGTCGCCAGTCCATTGCAGAGCAGACATAGCATCACACCTAGCAGCAATTTAGCATGTCCAGTTCACCTGATTGCATGGGCATGCTTTGGACTGTGGGAGTAAACCGGAGTACCCAGAGGAAACCCACGCTGGTTGCCCGGCTGGGAATCGAAACCAGCCTGTTCTTGCTGTGAGGCGACAGCGCTACCCACTGCGCCACCATGCCGCCGTGAGATAAGAGAACAGTATTACACAAACATCCTAACCAGACTAAGTCTCCTAAATACTGTCCTAACTTTAGGATAAACCCCAACAGTGTCCAAACTTCTGTTTAAGTGTCTGTTGTGAAATGTTTTTCCTCTTTAACTCTGTGTTTTAAAAATCTCAGACACTGCAGACACGATCTCCACCGTCCCCTCTAATTACCTTCGTGTGGTAACGTTGATAATATATTACTGTGATGGTGGTGAATAATGAGGAGACAGAGCTGAACGTGTCTGTTTATTAGGGGGAATAACGTGGGTGTACTCAGCTAAAGTGTTTAGGAAATGGAGACTGAAACTGGGGAGCGGCGACACTCTGATAAACAGCAGGGGGCACTCTCACTGTATTCACAGCTTTTTTACATCAGTAACAGCAGCTGTAACTTACATTTTAACATTATTTTGATAACGTGGTTATGTTTCAGCTGTGTGTGTGTATGGTCAGTTGCTAAGAAACAGACATAACAGCTGATTGTCAACTTCGATCAAGTAGGTTAGAGTTGCTGTAAGATAAGATAAAATTCCTAAATTAAGATCAGATTTGCTTCTGTGATATGAATTTGTGAAAAATCATACCTGGATCTGTCAGATCTTAATTTAGGACTAAAGATAGGAAGTTTGACTTCTCATTTTTAACAGTATGGGCCCTTTAAACTACCTAGCAATTAACTCCTCCCACTCCTCATCCTTCTGTGACCGAACTCCACACACAAACCCCTTTTTTTAGTTACAGCCTGTCCGCTTTTAGGTTCTGGGAGGGATTTTGGTTGTACTGAGAGGGTTTTCATTGTACTAGGAGGGGTTCTGTTTGTACTGGGAGGGGTTTCGGTTGTACGGGGAGTTTTGTTTGTACTGGGAGGAGTTTCTGTTGTACTGGTAGGGGTTTTGGTTGTACTGGGTGGAGTTTCGGTTGTACTAGGAGGGGGTTCTGTTGTAACGGGAGAAGTTTTTGCTGTATAGGGAGGGGTTTCGGTTGTACTGTGAGGAGTTTTGATAGTACTGGGAGGAGTTTCTGTTGTGCTGGGAGGAGTTTTTTATTGTACTGGGAGGGGTTTTGGTTGTACTGGGAAGAGTTTCGGTTGTACTGGGAGGGGTTTTGTTTGTATTGGGAAGGGTTTTAATTGTCGAATGTCTCTTAGAGAGACGGATGTTTTTACGCTGCTATAACATTGTGGCTCAAATGTGTCTCAGTCCACCTCCTGAAGTGGTTTGAGTGATCAGATCTGTATCTTTTTTAAATGCGTCTTACGTGTGTTAACTTGCATTTTTATGTGGCTGGGCCTCCAAATATAATCCTAAAACTTATAACACATGAAGCTTTATCACATGTCTGTAAAGCACTTTGAGCTGCCCCTGGTGCTATAAATAAAAATAGAATTAATATTATTATTGTTGTTAATATTATTCATTATAGGTCATAAACATGACATCTCAATGGTTGAATTATACAGGGATTCAGATCCCCTTTAGGTTGAGCTTAATGAGACTTCTCATCTTTTTAGCAGTATTGGCCCTTTAAACCACCCATCGCCTGACCCCTCCCCCTCCCATGGCCCCTCCCGTTGCTCCTCCTTCTTCTCCCCCTCTCGTGCCCTAAACTCCGCGCACAAACCTCTCTTCTTTTTATTACAGCCTGTCAAAAGCGCGAGCTGAAGATGACAAGCAGGACGGCACCGCCATAATGCTCGCGCTGGGACCATAACAAACCCCCCCTCTCTCAACGCCCCCCGCCACCTCTAAACAACACAGCACTACACTACACTACGCGCGTGCCACGGGCGCCCTTTTTTTTTTTTAGGGGGGGGCCCAGCGGATTCTCAGATTTTCAGATGGACGGCGTTGCCCCATTCCAGCGGAGCGCACGAGCGGAGCCGTGACCGCGCGCGAGCTCATCAGCCTGAAGGAGGAGAAGCGGAGAAGCGGATGGCTGCGCCAGTGTGATTTTTTTGTTGCTGTTTTTTATTTTTATTCCTTTTTTCGCCAGCTCTTCTTTTTCTCCCCTTTCGCTTCTTTCTTTACCCCCCCTCCCTCGCCGTTTCGCCGCGCGCGCACAGCCCCTCGTCCTCCTTTTTCCCCCATGAAAAACAACCTTTGGAGCGCGCCTCCTCCTCCTCCTCCTCCTGCGATGATCATGGCGAGCAAAAGCGCGGAGTGGCTGCAGGAGGAGCTCGAGGCCGGCGCGCGCTCCCTGCTCCTGCTCGACTGCCGGGCGCACGAGCTCTACGAGTCGTCGCACATCGAGTCGGCCATCAACCTGGCCATCCCGGGCCTGATGCTGCGCCGCCTGAAGAAGGGCAACCTGCCCATCCGCTCCATCATCCCCAACAACGAGGACAAGGAGCGCTTCGCCAAGCGCTGCAGGACGGACACCGTGCTGCTCTACGACGAGGCCACCGCAGACTGGCCCGAGAGCGGCGCGGGGGGATCCGTGCTCGGCTTGCTCATGCAGAAGCTGCGGGACGACGGCTGCAAGGCGTATTACCTGGAAGGTAAATCTCGGGGGGGCTTTTATTTTTCACTAAACCTGCGTCTAGAACCACGTACCACCTCACTAAATAGTACACCACTTGTAGTAGTGCATTCAACAATGTAGTTTGGTAGTATGGTATTTTTTTTGGTTTTGGGACGCAGCCTAAAGGCGAAACTTTGTGGGCTCCGTCTCAATATCGGTCCCTTGCTCCCTAAGTAGTGCGCCCGAAAGACCCGTATGACGCTCACATGGCTCTTTTAGTTTGGGAACGGTGGTAGGGAGCAAGGGACAATTTGAGACGTAGCCCTTTTATTTATTTATTTATTTTATTTTTATTTGAAAGGGAAAAAGTTTCAAGTACTTTCAAACGAGCGTGCAAGTGCTTGCACTCGTTTAAGCTGATGAGGCAGCTTTTTGTTAAAAGTTAGCTGATCGAATTCAGTCCCTTTTAAGGGGGTTAATGTCGTTTTCTTGTGTTGGTTCAACTTCTGTTCTCCTTTGACGTTGATCAGTCGCCTCACTTTGGAGCTTTAGTAGCTTATTTTGGACCAAAAAGAGAAGAATGTATCCCTACTTTACTTTCTCCCCCTCGGATTTTCCCGTTCCACCTTAAATGGTGCAGTAACTGCAGCACCATTTAAGGTGGACCGGGCAATTCGAACTAAGAAGGCGAAGTTGTACATTTTCTCCACGTCAAATCGTTAATCATAGACTGCGAATTGATTTAGAAGAATTGGGATAACAGTATTAATCGTTTTAGTCATTAAAACTGCAAATGCTAAAGTATAGCATAGTTTACAGTCGAAAATTACGGCTGAGAAGCCCGAACCCACAGCTCACTCCTCACAAACTTGTGAATTAATATCTTTTTAAAGCGAAAATGTCCAAAATCTTCCGCACAGCGTCTGCTTCTGGAGTTTTAAACGTGCTAGCCGTCGCACAGAGATGTTTTCAATTAGTTTCCTGAAATGGCTCCGCCATGTTGTCTTCGTTCAAGAGGGAGCTCGCATTTCATGAATGAAAAGGGAAGAGAAAGTAAAAACAGCCTGCTAGCAGCTTCGTTGTTTGCTTGTTTGTTTTTGATACATTTTTGATTCCTCAACGAAACAAACGTACACAATATATACATTAAAACAGGCTGTGAACGGTTATGGATGTGTTCAAAGCGGATATGTGGCCACCATTCACAAAACAGTCCACTGAGAGGTCATGAGCAGCATTAAAGGGCCCATATCAGGGTGTATATACACATTGTGTATGTGTTTTAAACAAACTTATACAAGCTTATATGACCGTTGTTCAAGTTTGAGAAGTCAGCAGTCCATATATTTAAAAATAGAGCCCATTTTCAGTTGTTTTTGTGATGTCATGGACATGTATTTGCATGTAGTGGCATGAGGAATGGACCAATAGGAATGCTACTCAAAAATGACTTAAAATGAAATCTACACATATGAATTTTGCATTAAGAATTAAGAATGTTACGGTGATGAGCCAGACAGAAAAGAGGCCATTCACAGAAATTAGTCCTAAAAGCATTTTGAGGGATAAAAGTGGTCATGCAAAAACAATTATGAATTATATGAATTAAAATGAATGATGGCCCTTTTTGGTACATAAAACCACACAGATGTTATAAGCACGCCTAGAGAAATTAAAATAGCTAAAATGCAGTAATATATTAATATATACACCCTTTAAGCATTCACTGTGTTATTAAGCCTATATTAAGCGTACTCTATGTGCAAATAAGCATATGTCATTGTTTATTTCTGTTTCTAGGAGGATTTAACAAGTTTCAGACGGAGTATCCGGAGCACTGCGAGACCAACCTGGACTGTTCCTGCCCAAGCAGCTCCCCGCCCGCTTCTGTTTTGGGCCTGGGAGGACTACGGATCAGTTCGGACTGTTCTGACGGAGAATCGGACAGGGAGCCAAGCAGCGCCACCGAGTCAGAAGGCAGCCCCTTACCCAACAACCAGCCACCTTTCCCCGTCCAAATCCTCCCATACCTTTACTTGGGCTGTGCCAAAGACTCCACCAACCTGGACGTTTTGGGCAAGTACAACATCAAGTACATCCTTAACGTGACTCCCAACCTGCCCAACATGTTCGAGCACGACGGGGAATTCAAGTACAAACAGATTCCCATCTCGGATCACTGGAGCCAAAACCTGTCACAGTTTTTCCCCGAGGCCATTTCTTTCATAGGTAAGTGGACGCGGTTTTGCTCTCTACAGCAAATTGTTGTGGTTCTGTTCTATTCTGATCTGTTCATTCATTCATTCATTCATTCCTTCATTTGAAAACATCAGCAGCCCAGCAGTGTGAACCTTTCATGATGAGTGGACTAAAAGAAATGGTTCCAAATAATGTAAATATAATCTCCTTATGTCATACACTTGTTCATATACATAAATATACAATTGTGTGCAAAAGTGTGTGCACCCCTGGTCAAACCGAATTGATTCTTTAAGCAAAAATAAGTGAACACGTCCTTTATAGAGAACGCATTTTAATTCACAGCTACATTTTATTTGCTGAGTTTAACATATTTGAGGGTGATGATAAAACATAAAATGTGTCCTGTGCAACAGGAACAGCACATTTTATATTTTATATTTTTTCCAATATGTTAAAATCAGCATATATAAAAGCTGTTTATCTGGGCAGTAAGCATTTATTTGCTTAAAAAAATTATGTGTGTGTAAAAACGTATATAAAAAAAGCAACAGTTAGTAAAAGTGGTGATCAAATCTTATCATGATAACTTTTAAAGGATTTACTGTAAATATATAATTAGAGTATATTATCATGTCAACTTCCTCCATCTGGTTTTGTGTTTAACGTTTAATACTTCAGTCAACACTGTATAAGTTCACATGTCATTTAATAAGACAGTAAATAGCAGTTATTAATATGTGATTTCACACTGTTAAACAGTCTTCTAAGTGACATGTACAGTAAAGTTTTAGGCATGTGATAATAAAATTTATTTAAAAAGCTGTTTATCTGGGCAAAAAACAAATATTTGGATAAACACAAATAATATGAATACAAGAAGGAATGGTATAATTGTTTGCAGACCTTCTCTTCTTCTCTTCTAGATAGGCCAGTATTAACTGTAGTTATCATCTAATATATATATATATATTATCTATCTATCTATCTATATATATATATATATATATATATATATATATATATATATATATATATATATATATATACACATATTATTGTTACTTGCCATAAACAGTGTTCTTTCATGGAAACTCAGCCTCTCAAGCTCATTCTGAAAGCGACTGCACTCGTTGAACTGTGAAACACTGGCGTCCGTCTTTCAGCTTAACGAGCAGCAGCACACAGGAAGTGGAGTTATTGATTAACGCGTAGTCGTCATCAGCGCGGATCACTGGGCTGCTGCTCAGGCAGCTTCTCTCAGGATCAGCTCGACTTTACTCGTCCAGAGCGGACGGTGTCTGACTGATTTACATACAGGAGCAAGAGCAGGTTGTAGAGGTGTGGTGTCATTAATGTGAATGAGACAGTGTGAGCATGAATGAATGACTCCGCTGAGACAAAAAACTCAGCTTTAAATCACGTTTACGCATAAATTACATTGACCTCGAAATACTGAACCAGGTCAGTCAGCTTAGTCTCATTTTATATCTTCATTATAACTCATAAACCTTTTCTCCAGTGACACCACACACTAAAAAAGAGCATTTCGTTTAAGGTGGACAGGTTCAGTAATGTATTTCTGTTGTCTACATTTGAGAATTGAAGGGCAATTCCACCATTTTTTTTTATTTCTGCATAATTCTAACTCTGAAGTGTAAGACTGATTCAGAGTGGTTTGGTGTGAAATGGTTCATTGTAGAAACTCACAGTGGTGGTGATAGGAACCAGGGGTTGCCATATATTCTATGATTTTAACACAAATATTCTATTTAGTACCCAAAACCACCAAATAAAGCATAAGATGCGCTGAAACTTTGGCTCATGCCACATTTTATGTTTTATTCACTGCAAATAAACAGCAAATGTGCAATAAAATGTGTTCTTTGTAGAGGATGTGCTAATTTAGCTTCAATTGAACACAGTGGAATTTCACCTGGGACACCCAAACCTTTGCATACAACTGTAATCGTTTCAGAGGTGGATGTTTGGTTCATGTCATCACCACTGTGAGCAATTCTGACATGAACAGAACAGAACGTTTCACACCAAACCACCCTGAATGAAATTTTCAACCACTTAATTATGCAGAAATTCTGAAAAGCAGGTGAAATCGTCCTTTAAAGCAGCTCTAGCAGTGAGGGCATTGACATTGCTGTGTTAGAGCGAAGAGTTTTCAGGAAATGCCACCCCTGCTGTCTGTGGCTGTAGAGTGGCCAGCTTCAAAGTCATTTCCGCAGCACTTCCTGTCCGTGGCCTCGTTTTTGTTTATTGTTTAATTCAGTAAAAAAATGCACAATGATTTATATTTACCACTCACAGGAGCCTAAACACATCCAGCGTCGGTCAGCATAAGATCCACGAGGCTGAAAGTGGCTACTTTTTTTAATTTTAATGGTCCACCTTAAATAGTGTAGCTGTAACAGCTTCCCCATTTAAGGTGGAGCAGAAGAATTCAAATAAAAGTGAATATCAGCTACATTCTTCTCTTTTTGGTCTGAAATAAAAGGAAAAGTGAGAGCAGTAATTCAGCATTAAAGCAGAACTGGAGCTGAACCAACACAACAGAACAAAGTTAAACCCAAAAACAGAATTAGGGACTGAACACTAATGACTGAAATGGAGTTGGACTTTTTCACCAATATACATGAGTGGAAGTCAAAGTATTAGCATTAGCATTTTATACTTCACGCCTCTAATAAACTTAAAACCATGACATTAACATTGTCATAGTGTTGTACTGCTGTTTTAGTGATGGATATGATAGACGTACAGTAGTAAGTGGTTAAGTTAATAATATTACATCATTATTATTATTATATTTTGAAATGCCAAATCAGTAACTGTATTAATGCTAACCTATTTGCTGTTTTAATGCTAACCTTAGGTTATTAATGCTAACTTAAGTTTATTAATGCTAATGCTAACTTAAGTTTATTAATGCTAATTTGTCAATATTTTTAGTGCTAACATTCACTTAATTAATGCTAGCTTATGTACTTTATTAATGCTAATTTGTCAATATTTTTAGTGCTAACTTATTCACTTTATTAATGCTAACTCTAGTTTGTTAATGCAGTTTAGCAGCATTTTTAGTGCTAACTTATTCACTTATTAGCATTTTTTAGTGCTTATTAACTTCAGAACTTACTAACTTCATTAATACTGACTTTTTAAATGCTAACTTAAGTTCATTTATGCTAATTTAAGTTTATTAATGCTAACTTGTTCTTTTTTTAATGATGACCTGTTCATTTTTTTAATGCTTAACTTTATCAATGCTGACTTATTAACTTTATTAAGGCTAATTTATCTTTTTAAACACTAACTTTACTGTTGCTAGCTTATCTTTATTAATGCTAACTTATTAATTTAATGACTTACTGACTTATTAACTTTATTGATGCTGATTTATCTTTTAAATTCTAACTTAACTTTATCAATGTTAGTTTAGCTTCATTAATTCTAACTTATTCACTTAAATAAGTGTGTCGTTCGGCCCTGTTTGAGGTTTGTGTGTGTGAGTCGCGTGCGGTGTAGCGAGCAGCATCTGTCTGAGGAGTTCTGAGCCGAGTTTTAGCTGCTGTGGTGAAACGCAGTGGACAGAGAGGTCAGATCAGGAGGAGGAACCGCTGGTCTCCATTGAGAGTGGCTGTTTCTGCTCCAGCACAGAGACGAGAGAAGATTTCTGATGCGTTAGTCTGGATCCGTCTTGCCATTTGGATTAATTTTTAAACGTTAAACTGGTGGATATTTTTTCAGTTATGATTTATGTTCAAAAGTTTGGAATCACTTTCTAATTAATACAGAAACAGAGTTTTGAGGAGTCATGCATATCATCATTACAGGAACAGGACACTAATACTGAGTGATAACCAGAGTGATAAACAGCTGTGGGAGATTTTAAAACGACTGAGAACATCAAGAATGAAATTCTAAAAGAATCAATATCCAGAATTCATCATGTTTGAAAAGTGGTGATCAAATCTCAAGATAACTTACAGTAAACAGATGATTATGGTATAATATCACTTAAATACTTTTTCCATTCGGTATTGTTTATAACATATAATATTTTAGTCAATTTATCATTGAATAAAATAGCAGCGGTTATTAATAAACAGTCTACTGAATGACACATGCAGTGAAGTTTTAGGCACCGGATAATAAAATCAGATTTATGAGTCTGTTTATCAGGTCAAAGAGAGTTTGTTTGCTCAGAAAAACTCGTATTAGAATAAATACGAATAATATTAATACAGTAATTCATTTTTTTTATCTGGGACAGTGTGTTTGTTTATATATTTCCTGCATTGTCTTTGAGGAAGTCCAGTATTTCTATATAACATCCAATGCCTGCTTTGTCTAATCAATACTTCATTAAATCAAATGATCAAATTAAGGATTGAATGATTATTGAGCATAAAGAGAATAATGCTAACTTATTAACTTTGTTATTGCTAACTTTATTAAGTATAACATCTTTAATAATGCTAACTTAACTTTATTAGTGCTATTTTATTATTTTTACTAGTGCTATATTAACTTTATTAATGCTATCTCACCCGTATTAATGCTATCTCACCCTTATTAATGCGATATTAACTTTATTAATGTTCTTTTTATCTTTATTAATACTCTTATTAAATTTATTAATGCTATCTTTTATCTTTGTTAATGCTATATTATCTTTATTAATGCTAACTTAGTAATTTAATGCTAACTTATTAACTTTATGAACACTGTTTATTATAGCTCTTATCTTTTCTAATGCTATCTTAACCTTATTAATGCTTTTATTAACTTTATTAACGCTGATTTTTTATCTTAATGCTGACTTATTAGCTTTATTAATGCCATCTTGATTTTATTAATGCTATTTTAACTTCATCACTACTATCTTATCATCTTAATGCTGATGTATCTCAGGTCTCAGCTGCTATTGAACATTATTGATTGTTGAGAATTTAGATTTCAGCTGAATGGATCGACTGAATTCTCAGCATTCTGTGATCTTCACACGCGAGTAAACAACAAACAGGAAGTGAGGGGCAGTTTCGCTTGTCACACGCGCAGCCTCCTGCGGTCGTATTGTTGATCAGCGAGCCTGCCACAGTGTCTGGGCAAGGGGAGGAAAACTGGTGCACGCCGCGCCATCATAACATCCTGTGGACACTGTTACCCAGCCGAGCGCAGTTTCACTTTTAAAGACAACATGACACAGTTTAATTGATGTCTGTGCACTTTTACACCGTTCACATGCACAGTGCACCATTCTGGATTATTAATAACCTCAGACTCAGCTGTTTTCAGTAGATGGACTATTAGCAGATTTGATACACCGTGATTTCATTTTTAACCATTTTAAACTGTTCTTTCAAAATGATATAAAGGACCAAATGATGTGTTACCTTTAACTGTCAGGTTCTGGATGTGTAAAGTGCACAAAATAATGGGGGCACTGCCGTTTTTTGGATATCGTACCTACCAGATATGGTGCTACAACATAGTTAAAATGGTTAAGCCACCATTTTTCTCAAAATTTCCCCATAATTCAGTGGTTAAAGCAAAGTAAAACATTTTAAAAGTACTTTTCAGATCAAAACCTTCTTAAAACTATCATAAAAGATCTCAGACATCTGGCAGTGTATTCATAACCATTTCCTGTATCTGTGAGGGAGCTTTTAGAGATGGACGTTCCATTGACTACAGCGATTCTGACTTTAGAGCAGAGCATTTCTCACCATAATGACTGTGTTCACGTCGTAATGGTTTAATCATGCAGAAATTATGAAATATCAGTGGAATTCCCCTTTATATTATTGCTTCGCTTCAAGCTCATTGCACTTTGGTCTTTGGGTGCTAGGATCTTATTTGGCTGCTGGATATTTTTGTACATTGTAATCAGTGAGAATTTGTGTATTTCATGATTTTTATTGGTGAAGTTTAGTGAAATTAATTTTGCTTGTACAGGAAAATGAACATTAAGGCAAAGTCTTGAGGAGCTAAAGGGTAATTCCACCAATTTTTAAAACTTTTTCCCTATGTTTGAGTGTTTGAGATGTAAACAGAGTGATTCAGAGAGGTTTGGTGTGAAATGGTTCAGATTTCTTTACAGTGGTGGTGATAGGAACCAGGGGTCACCATGACTACAAAACAGATATAAACATTTTATTTACTATTACATTTCATGTTAGAACTTTCTGTGAGGGAGCTTTTAGAGGTGGACGTCTGGTTTCTATCACTACTACTGTGAACACTTCTGACTTGGTAAGTTTCTGTAGAACGAACCACTCTGAATGACTCTGTTTACATCTTAACAAATGAATTGTTCTGAAATTTTGAAAAATCGGTGGAGTCGCCCTTTAAAGAGTATAGCCGGGTTGAAAATGTGCTGTTTCCATCCATCATTAGAGAGAAAGCAGAAGAAAAAGGCACTAATGGCTCTGCAGAGTGTTACATTCTGCAAAGCCAGATGCATCCAGGTCATCAATAATGTATAATCACCCCATCTCCTCCCACCACCACCACTACCACTCACGAGCCCACACGAGGTCAGTCGGAGCTGCAGAGGCATTTCTGAATGTTCACCATCTCTGAGTCTTCACAGTGAGACCACGCTGAGACATTTTAGTGCTCCATTCAGCGATTCAGACGCCTGTGCAGACACAGCCGCAGCGCCGCAGCTTCACCCTCGAGTGTGCTGAAGTGCTTCTCTTTTTGAGGGGCTTTGTTTAAACTTGAATGAACGGGAGGAAGATTTGTAATGAGGTTCTTGTGAATAAGAGGCTACACAGAGCCCTACTGTACTCATCTAGGAACCAGTTTCTCTGTATTCTTGTTATCATAAAGGGGAATTCCACTGAATTTTCCATATTTCTGCTTAATTAAATGGTTAAGCTTTGAACAAAGTCGTTCAGAGCGTTTTGGTGTGAAACGCTCTGTTCTAGAGATACTTACCAAGTCAGAGGTGTTCACAGGAGTAGTGATAGAAACCAGATGTCCACCTCTAAAAGCTCCTTCACAGAAAGTTATTACATGAAATAATCTGATAACTGCAGAAAATCAGATTGTGTCAGTAACTGGTTCAGTGTGTTTTCATGCTTCTGGGTAGTCAGATAATGAAAGAAATCAGAGTAAGGGTTTACATGCACTGCAAAGCCTCATTACTGAGCTCAAATCCAGCCTCTTTATCAGATTTATAGGCCTTAATCTGATCTTAGAAATCAGTGTACTGTTTACACGATCACTTAATAATCAGATAACTGCAGAAGTCTGGATTATTGTTGTGCACGTAAACGCACTCAGTATTCGAACATGGTTTCTTGTCTAACAACGTGAAGGCTTTTGTTTTAAGATGCATTAAAGGTGACTTTTTTTGTCATGATACATTGTTGTCACTTTACACACCATTACACATCAGTTCTACATTGTGATCACCTTTATCAGAGAAATAAAAGTGTTTTCTGTTCTTCCTCTCCTCAGATGAAGCTCGTTCCAAAAAGTGCGGTATACTGGTGCACTGCCTGGCCGGCATCAGCCGCTCGGTCACGGTGACGGTGGCCTACCTGATGCAGAAGCTCAACCTGTCGCTGAACGATGCCTATGACTTCGTCAAGCGCAAGAAGTCCAACATCTCACCCAACTTCAACTTCATGGGGCAGCTTTTGGACTTTGAGAGGACGCTGGGACTCAACAGCCCCTGCGACAACCGCTCGCCCAACGACCAGCTCTTCTTCACCACGCCGACCAATCACAACGTGTTCCAACTGGATACGCTGGAGTCCACATGAGGGTGGGCTGGGCGGGCTTCGGCGGTGGGGAGCACCCACCCCTTCGTCTTTTTTGCGACGTTCGCCTCCCGACATGCGGGGAAGCGCCGACAAGCCGGTGAGGCGAGGAGAGGGACGCAGGGCGGTGAAGACCCCCTGGGATAGCTGACCGCACGGAGGCTGACCTGAGGAGAGCCCTGCTGCCATACTGGTGGTTTTTGATGCAGCTTCTTCTTGCCTTTCTGGAAAAGACTGTTGTTTATGTTTTTCTTTTTTTGTCTCGGAACCACGTACAAAGACACCCCCCCCCCCAGCGTTTTTATCCAAACCTCCTGTCTTGACGGGTGCCAATCTGGAGGGGCAAAGGAGGTGGTCTCGCTCTACGTGAATGTAGGGTTTGCACAGTCTGTTCGTGTATGTACATCAGGTTGTATATTTGTAAGCACTCACAAACCAAGTGGTTCTAGATTGTATCCGACCAACAGAGAAACGAACATTGTTCTTAATAGGAACATTATTTTTCTTCTTTTCGTTTGTAATGACCTAATGCGGTTTGCACAGTGGTGAAGCCTTTCACTTCTTGGCACTTAAAAAAAAGAAACAACAAACAAAACTGGTACTCCAACACAACAAATAAAGAGACATTCAGAGGTCGTCCGGCCTGTTCGAGGCTGCAGCTGCGCGGGGCGTCTCGGGCTGGACCGGCTGGAGCGCTCTTACTCGAAACTGGGTTTTTTTGTAATCCTCGAGTCCCCGCTTCCTTAACGAAAGTGTTTTTTCTTGGGTCGACTCACCCTCAGGCCTTGGTGATAAGTACAGAATGAGTATGAGCATATTCTATTACATTTTAAATAAGTATAACTTCACCGTATGTATTTGAGCATGGAGTCCTGGTTCTTAACCTGGCGGGTTTTATGGGAAACCGAATGTTTAGAACTGTTTTTTTAACTCGTATCGCTGCCCTCAGGTCACCTGGGGGGGCGTACAGTGCGCAGGGGGAGCTTCTGGCAACAGAAGCGTTCGATTTGGAATTGAACGGACACGCGCTCGAGTTCGCAGGGTTGCTTTAAGCTGGCCTTATATAACCTTTTTAATCCTTTTCCTATTCTGACTGTTCAGTACTATTTGTATCTCACTTTAGAAATCGTTGTATGAAATTTAAGATAAAGGACGTCCGTTCGTTCGTTCGTTTTTAAACAAAATCGATATGTAGTAATAATGGACAACTAATGGTCTTTAACGGGTCAGTCGAGGTTGTATTTGTTACTCTCTGCAATATATATATATATATATACATACATATATATATGAACACCCTTTGCAGTATTTTCTAGGAAAACTATACAAAAACAAAAAAATGAAAAAAAAAGGCCTTGGGTTTTTAATTCCTCTACTTTTTCTACTCGTATTCCACGGAAATACAGCTTGCTTTGGAACTGAGGTAGCTTTTCACCTGGGGTGTCCATTTATATGCTACATGATAACTTTCTGTTCCAGCAGACCATCCGGTTCTGGTTCTGGTTCTGGTTCTGTTCTGTTAACCCCACACGTGCTATTCCTGTGGCCTTTCAATGTATTTCAATACTTATATATATACATATATATAATATTTGAGAAGATATGCAACAGTCTCCTCCAGAATATTATCACAGAGGATGACCATTTTCTCGTGCTTGAAAATTGACTTCGTCTGTTAGATGTCTGGTCACAAGGAAGAAAAAAGAAGAGAGAAATAAAAGCACCCTAGGATTGAAATGTATTTCAGTGCGGAGCTTTTCGTTTTTCGTTTGTTTTTATAAATTTAAATGTAAATCCTTGATTTCAAGCTGCTTCTCGTGGAGGAATGTTTGTGTTCTCTGTAACGACGGGGGAAATGTTTCTTTCTCTGTCTGTTTATCGCCAGAACACAGGAAGAGTGCTTTCTGTGGAAAAAAAACTTTTCTTGTAGCTACACCTTGGTAAGAGGCAGCGTTTAAAGAAAGTGAGAGAGAGAGCGAGCATGCAAGGGAGTGAGAGAGAGAGAGAGAGAGAGAGAGAGAATGAATAACAAAAATGTATATCTTACCTCACTGAGGAATTTTTCAGGGATTTTTTGACAATGCATCTGCATCGTGTTACAGCTTCGAATACATGACGAATAGCTGTTTTATATGTGCTGTATACATTTTTTTAAAAGATGCAATCTATATATGTGTATAAAACTGGGCTTGGTAACAGGGCAGTTCAATTTTCTGATTTATGAAGGATATAAAATTGTCCGTATGTATTGTATAGTCTATGGAAAGAACACACAACAAGACATGTTTATACTGCAAATAAATATTGAATTATTTTTTTGGTTAACTAGTTTGGTTTGCTTGTGGTTTCTTTTAATCCTTTATAACGTGAGCTGAAAGCATTACGCTAAGAAGTTTGGCTTTTTTGAATGATACGATCTGGGCTGTCAGAGTTACTGAGGTACTTTATTAACAACACATATTTTAACATCATTAGAGTCTGTAGCAGTGCAGACTGAAGCCCAGCTGCAGCGCTGTATGTTGCTCTGACAGAATCTGTGATTGTAGCTCTGTTGTTCAAATACAGCTTTTAAAAAACTTTATGAACAAATATGAGATTTTTTTTAAAAGAGTGCATTCAGCTATGGCTATCAGTGGACAAGATTGTAATCATTTGACAGCCCTGTATACAGTGTGATATGATGAATCGTGCTTAATATGACCAGAAACATGAACTAACATGCTAGAATTTTGTCTTTTAAATGATACGATTTAGGCTGTCAAAGTTAACGAGATACATTAATTAACAGCACAAATTTTAACACCATTAATGTCTTTAGTAGTGCTACAAGCATGGAGGAGCTGAACCACTGACTGCATATATGACATATATTCTCAGTGACTGTAAAAATTATATATATATATATATATATATATATATATATATATATATATGATATAGACACTCATGAACTGTATATATGATGTATATGATATATACACTCAATAACTGTATATATGATACACACTCATCGACCATATGCAACATATGATACATATGCTCATTGACTATATATAATATACACAATCATTAATTGTGTATATGATGTATACACTCATTAACTGTATATATGATATATATGATACACACTCATTGACTGTATATGATATATACACTCATTGAGAGTATGTATGATATATGCACTCATTGGCTGTATATGTGATACATATGGTCATTGACTATATATGATATAGACACCCATTGACTGTATATATGATATATACGCTTATTAACTGTGTGGATGATATATATGATATATACACTCGTTGATTGTATATATAATTTATATGATACACTCATTGTATATATGATATATATGATATACATACTCCTTGGCTATCCTTGGACATGATGCCATTGGATATTGGTGATGAAAACTGTGTTTACTGGAAAATAATGTTTTTAAATTATTGAAAGTAATAAATACGTTCTAATAATGCTTATTTTGTCCACTCATACAGTTGTAACACAATGCACTGCTGTTCAGCTGAAAAAAATATTTCATTAGAGACAAACTTGAGCGATTTGGTGGATTATGTGTAGTTTATCTCAATCATGATTAATTGCTCAAATTTGACCTTAAAAAACTCTATTCGGTTTCAAAAATGTGCATTGAATTAGAGCTATATGAGTGGACAAAATAAGAAAAACTATTATAATCATTTAACAGCCCAATATATGATATAATATGACCGGGCACATGAACTGACAAGACATAATATTGTCTTTAGGCTGTCAAAGTTAACGCCACATATTTTAGCACCATTAATGTCTGTAGTAGTGATGGCATTTTAATTAAAAAAAAATTCTTTAGGGACAAATTAGACTCATTAACCATGATTAATCGCATCATTTGGTGTAGTTAACAGAAATAAGCTTTCTTTAGGGTCAAATTTGAGCGATTAATCATGATTAATCACATCATCACATCAGATCCTACATAAAGCTTTTTTCTGAGTGCATTCTATTATATACATGAGTGAACAAAATAAGCAACACTTTTTTATTCGTTTGGCAGCCTCATACACAATATTATACAACGAATCATGTTTAATATGACCAGGCGCATGAACTAACAAGACATAATGTTGTCTTTTAAATGATACAATTAAGGCTGTCAAAGTTAACGGCACATATTTTAGCACCATTAATATTTGTAGTAGTGATGGCTTAAGCACTTTAATAAAAAATGAGCTGCATTTTCATTAAAACAAAGTTCTTTAGAGACAAATTTGACCGATTAATCATGATTAATCACATCATTTTGTGCACTTAACAGAAATAAGCTTTCTTTAGGGTCAAGTTTGAGCGATTAATCATGACTAATCGCATCATTTTGATTGATTTGATCCTTAAGATAGCTTTTTTTCTGTTTATAAAGGAGTGCATTCTGTTATATCTATGAGTGAACAAAATAAACAACACCATTTTAATCATTTGGCAGCCTTATACACGATATTATATGATGAATCGTGCTTAATATGACCAGGAACATGAACTAACAAGACATAATGTTGTCTTTTAAATGATACAATTAGGGCTGTCAAAGTTAACGGCACATATTTTAGCACCATTAATGTCTGTAGTAGTGCTTGCCTAAGCACTTATATAAAAAATGAGCTGCATTTTAATTAAAAAAAAGTTCTTTAGAGACAAATTTTACTGATTAATCATGATTAATCATCATTTGGTGCAGATAACAAAAATAAGCTTTCTTTGGGGTTAAATTTAAGCAATTGATCATGATTATTTGCATCATTTTGTGCACTTAACAGAAATAAGCTTTCTTTAGGGTCAAATTTTGAGCGATTAATCATGGTTAATCACATCATTTTGTGTAGTTAACAGAAATAACCTTTCTTTGGGGTCAAATTTGAGCGAATAATCATGAGTAATTGCATCATTTTGATTCATTTGACTCTAAAGAAAGCTTTTTTTCTGTTTATAAAGGAGTGCATTCTGTTATATGTATGAGTGAACAAAATAAACACCACCATTTTAATCATTTGACAGCCTTATACACGATATTATATGATGAATTGTGCTTAATATGACCAGGAACATGAACTTGCAAGCTAAAAAAAGGTATTGATTTTAGGTTCAGAGTCAGTTCTTCTCAGTTCACTCACTTCTCAGTTCTTCCTGGTTTTTTTCTCTTCTGTGAGCACTTTGTGCTTTCTGTGAATATAATGAACCTGGACTGCTGCAAACTCACTTCCCACATCTCTCTCCGCGAGCGTGCTATAAAAAGACGTCCAGGGCTCTGTTTGAAATACCTCGCGTGGTTTGAAGAGTCCTCGTCGCTGACCTACAATGAAAGGCAGGGCCCTGATAGAACTGGCCCCCGAGCTGATGAGCCGGGCCGTTCTCACTTTATTCTCACCCATAAAGCCTCAGCTTAGCGCCGGGTCAGGAGAAACCTGCCCTAAGCTGATACTCCGCTCAACATCTCAGCTCTGTATTACGCGACACTTCTTCTTTCTCACCGCTCTGGTGGAGCCTGGTTTCCTGTTGCCTTGTGGTTAATTTCAGATACAGATGGTTTCTGAAGCATGTGATGACACCACATCCGATTGCTCAAACTACAACAGATCTGCTTCCTTCTTCTCACCCACGTTCTCTCTCTTGTGGAGACTGAGGCAAAGATTCGATACGCACTGTATGTAGTCACATATAATGAGGTAAGGTGAGCGTTATCGTCGAAAGTGGCTATCAGGCCTGAATCAGAACAAAGTGTTCTGCATTCTCATCCGTGTTCTCATCTGTGTTCCTGTTACCTTCAGCTGAGAAATAAGGAGGAACTTTCGTAAGAACTGACTTACAAACGAAGAATCTGCCGTTGGTGCTCTGCACCAGAATAATTCAGGACTGTACTGTAGTTGCTCGAGAGAATAAGAGTTGGTTTTATACCATTTTTCGATACAATGCGATACAAAGTTATAAAAGAATTGCTTGATTTTCCATTTTTTCCACTACACTTATTGTCCACTTTATCAGTTCCACTGACTTGAAGTTCTACAGTTACAGACTGTAGTCCATCTGTTTCTCTGCATACTTTGTTACCCTGTTCTTCAATGGTCAGGACCCCCACAGAGCAGGCATTACTTGGGTGACGGTGTCATTCTCAGCACTGCAGTGACACTGACGTGGTGGTGGTGTGTTAGTGTGTGTTGTACTGGTGCGAGTGGATCAGACACAGCAGTGCTGCTGGAGTTTTTAAACACCTCAGTGTTGCTGCTGAACTGAGAACCAAAAACATCCAGCCAACAGCGTCCTGTGGACAGCGTTCTGTGACCACTGATGAAGGACTAGAGGATGACCAACACAAAGTGCACAGCAGCAGATGAGCTATCGTCTCTGACTTTACATCTACAAGGTGGATCAACAAGGTAGGAGTCTAATAGAGTGGACAGTGAGTGGACATAGTGTTTACAACTCCAGCAGCACTGCTGTGTCTGATCCACTCGTACCAGCGCAGCACACACTAACACACCACTACTATGCCAGTGTTACTGCAGTGCTGAGAATGATCCACCATCCAAGTAATACCTGCTCTGTGGGGGTCCTGTGGTGGCCCTGACCTTTGAAGAACAGGGTAACAAAGTATGCAGAGAAACAGATGGACTACAGTCTGTAACTGTAGAACTACAAAGTGCTCCTATATGGTAAATGATAAAATGGACAGTGACTGTAGAGACAAGGAGGTGAACTGTCCATATAGTGGGTTAATTCTTTATGATAAAGTTACTTAAAACAAGTAAAAATTACTTATAATTTTTTATAATTTAAATAATCTTATAAACAGCTTCTCAATCCCAACATGAGAAATATCTGATATATATCGACTAGATTTTAAATGATTTTACTTGCCAAGAAAACAATAACAATAAAATAGCAATAAAATACAAAGTCTAGAGTCAAAACAAGGCATGTGGAGTCAATTAAACTGTAAAGAAAAAGTTTGCAATGGAATACGATACTATCGTGTTCCCTAACTAAAGGTACCAAAGACATACCTGTATGGGTTCCACCCCAGTCGCAGTCTATTCCATGCTGCTGTTCTATATAAAATCTATTCTATGATACTGACGTCAAGCTGGCAACAATAGCAGAACCCTTTTTGGGGCTATACAGATCCATGTACAACACATTCTGAAGAACCATTTCACCACGCAAAGAACCCTTTAATCATGCAAATGGTTTTTTGAGTGTTCATGATTCAAAATAGTACCATTGTGTTTACTAAAAACCCTTGAAGAACCATCTTTTTTTAAGAGTGCACTAAATTA